TTTATTTTTAGAGAGAGGGGAAGAGAGAGAGAAAGATGGAAAGAAATATCAATGTGTATGGTTGCCTCTCACATGCTCCCCGCTGGCGACCCGACCTGCAGCCCAGGCGTGTGCCCTGCCTGGGAGTCAGACTGGTGGCCCTTAACTTCACAGTCCGGTGCTTAGTCCACTGAGCCACACCAGCCAGGGCTCAAAAACAATTTTTAGCTTCAATGTCTACAGGTCTTATCAAAGCTATTTTATGTTTTATAAAATATATTTTTGATTACCAATTACTTTATATTTTAAATAAACCATAAAATAGCTCTTTCTCTTTTATATATATTTGTTTCATTTCAAAGCTGTGGTTGACGTTATAAACACCTTAAAGTTTTTGAAATAGTCATATTGTGCCTTCAATGTATGGCAAGGCCCTGAACCCCAAATAAGTCAACAAAATGTACTCAAACTTAAGTGGGATCAACAGTGCAACATTTATGGGCTGAAGTTTATAGAAGATTGCATTCAGAACTTATGAACAATTCTGTATTCAATGTCATTAACCAGATATAGACATGTCATGTGTTTTAGAAGAATCATCAGCAATGTAAACTGCTTCTTTTATTCTGTTACAAATTGGATTTTCCTTTCTTCCCTTGAGAAGCCAGACTGAACAATAGAATACTCTAAAAGAGAGATTTGTTGAATGCCAAGGCCATCTTTTTGAAAACTAGGTAGAAGAATAGAGATGTATACTTGACGTTGTGAATCAATTATCAGTGAAAATCCTGTTATACCACTCAGAATAGAGGCCCCAAAGTCAAGGTTTACTTTCCCAGCATTCATTGCTTTTAATAGGCTTGGCCTTGGTCTTCTATAAAAGACTTACTTTTGCAAAATCTAATTTTCTAACAAACATAAAAATCTTCCTTTCTTTAACATTGACTGAAAAGAAGGACTAATATTGCTTTTAAAGTAGCCATAAGATACTTAGCTTAAGTTCATTTTTTACTGGCAGTAGGTTCAAGGCTGGATTACTGTTGAGCAGTAACTCCTAGAGTGAAAAAAAAATGTCACTCATATACTCCTAATATCCATTCACACAAGAAATTAGAAGTTTCTGTGAATGTAAAGCATTATTATTTTTTGGGTTGTGGGAGAAGGAGGGTGTGAGTGAATACAGGGGTGGGGAAAAGTAAGTTTACATGAAACAGAATTTATGTTTTTATTATTATGTATTAATTATTTTACTACTTTCAGTACAAGCAACTGTAAACCTACTTTTGCCTGCCCCTGCATAGTATACAAATAATAAAAATGCAATATATATATACCATATATAATCGATGAAATATAAAAAATACAATTATTTTAAATACTGCTAAATAATTTATAAAAAACAGAACTATTTTCCATGTTCTTAAGCATACCAGTCCAAATAAAATGTAAAGTTTTATTTGTGGACAAAAAACATTTTTAAAAGATTTTTTATTTCAGATTATTGTTTGAAACATTATTTGGCTACTAACTTGTATCTGTGTTTTGGCAATTAAATAAAATATTTTTGATTTCTTGTTCTGGACTTTCAAATAAAGATTGTGATGTATAGAATACTAATTGCATTTTTAAAGTGTTTGTGATATATACTACATTGACAAGTAAAAACATAATCCATTGCACTTCATTGAGTAAGAGTGCCACAATTGCATTTTGAGTTTCAAGTGTTTATAGGGATGAACAAGACAGTTCCATAGTCCAGAGTAATGACTGAGAATAATTTTTTAAGTAATTTTGTCTTCTTTTATTTTTTTCATTATGGAAGGATCAGGTTTTATACCTTTAATTTTAAGTACTATACTATAAGGAAAAATAGGAGACTCTAAAAATACTAAGCCCAAGGAAAGGCAGCAGCAACCTAACTGCACAAACTGTAACATAAAGCAAAAGGTGTCCCAGTAATAGCTTCTAACTTTCAAATGTTCCTGGCTTTTTATCCAATTGTAGCCAGAATAGTTGATCAAAATCATCTCCCTAAATAAAATGTACTTAGGATTTTATTATTTTTTTAATTTATTGATTTGAGGGAGAGAGAGAGATTGTGTGTGTAAATATAATGAAAGTAGCAAGAGAAGAAAGTAGATTCAGGAAATGGCATAAATTTGTTTTAGCATGGCCAATATTCTGAATTAGTTTTACTACTTTGTCATCTGTAGGTTACCCAGTTAGTTCAGTATAGTTTATTCTGAGTTATGCTAATAGCGTAGAAATGGAGAAATGTCAGGCTCCCCTTATAATTCTGAATTAAGCTACTATGTCATTTTATAAGGTTAAGACAAAAATCTGCTCATTTCAGGATACTAAAATAATATGTTTAGTAGTCAAATGTAATTCATAATGTGGACCAGAAAAACATAGACAACCAAGAACAATCTAAAATATTTTTATACCTATGTTTTTACTTTGATACTTTACACATTTTCTCTTATACTGATAGTTGCTTTCAATATAGCTTGAGAAAATATCTTCCTAGTGCAGCAGTATATTTTCCTTTGTGGTTTTGGTGTTTTAAGCAAAGTGAATGGTATGAATGAAGGAATAATTCTTGCTCTAAAACTCTCTGATTGAGGTCTGGAGACCTATAGTCTCTTCATAAAATAAATACTCTGTTAAAGACTATGTTCATTTTTGAAAGACAGCTTCAGCCAAATTCTTTAAAGTGAGTATACTCATTTTGCACTCCCATGGCCAACTCTGAATTTTGATTTCTTGCTCTGGATATTCAAATAAAGATTGTGACTAATGGAATAAAGATTACACCCAAAAGCCTTTATAAATATCCAATAACAAATGGAAGTATCTGTATCCTCACTCATTGCTACACGCTATCACCAACTTGATAAACCTTGGATATGTATACAATAGTACCTTTTGTTCTGAATAAAATTTAAAATCAATTCAAGGGCCTATTCTGCAAATATTTTATGTGCTTTGCTCATTTGCAGATGATCAAATTTTGAGAAAGCCCTTTTGAAATCTACTACAATAATGCCTTATCTGAAAAAAGATAACTTTCAGATGTATAAACTGCCAATTTTAAAACATATCACCAATATAGTAAGAATATTTCAGAGCTTGACTTTTTCCTCAAGTACATAAAAGTATAATTCACAGTATATCAGAGCCTACTCTTTAGCAGTTGTTAAATTATCAAATAAAATTTAAGAAAAAATAACAGCCTTGAAAACAAATGAAAAAACATTAAAAATAATTACATGTCAGTGTTGCTTAATGTGAATGAAATAGTGAAGGAAATTGGAGAGAGAGACTAGATTGGAGATTAATGAAATATATCTGGATCATAAATAAACATAATTCAGTGGAATATTACTATTGAATTTATGAATGTTTATAAAGAAAAATTCTATGTCCCCTTTTTTTCTCTTATGTTTTGTATACTACTATAAATATTCATGAATAGTGAGTATCAGTTCAGGTTATCTGTGTGAATAAGAATTTTTAGATAACTGATCACTTAGTGTTCATTGAATCATGCTTTTGCGATTAATTCAGTGGTATTCAGATGCACTATGAATCTGACCCAGCTCATGAATATTCACACACACACTGATATTTCTGGAAGTAATCATGTCTATAAAGATGGAAATCTTGTTAGTTTTCAATAATGAGAAATGCATTAGGATGCTGGTCCCAGAACAATTTAAAAATACCCTGTTTTCATTTTTTTATAAATGATAAACTTTAATATATAAGCACATATGTTCTACATCTTTCTTAACAGAAGTTTGTTTTTTGAAAAATATTACCTTTAAAAACTCTTGCGCATGGTTTAAACATGATTGCATTTGTTTCCTATATATATTTGCTGTGGTCACCAAAAAGATTAGAAGTTTAAGAGTATCTCCAGTCCTTATCCCAAGGTATTTCCACTGTTCAGTCTGGGTCATAGATTCTAAAGTACAGAGAAGTCCAATGTGCTAATCTGCTGGAGGCATTGTACCTATTAAAAGAAAAAAAAAAGTGTGAGATTACTTGCCATCTTTTTTGTGTAAAGAAAAAATAATATTCTAAGCCAGTAAAATATTTATTATGTTAGACACGGGATGCTATGAGGACAGAAGCCCATATTTAAGAAGTATATACTACTTTAGCCCTTGTTTATCCCACAATAATAATGCTTCTCTTTTATTTTAACGAATGGCATATGTTTGTAGTACTTGTCCAAGTCAGCAATTACAGGTAGGTATCAAAATCAATGACCTGATCCTTATTAGCACCATATTCTAACTATTAATTGAGCTAACTAGAAAAAATGAAAAACCACTGTTCATAAAGGTAGTAATAAAGGATGAGCTACTTCATATTTCTATCACTGATATTGTCAAACCTCTCAATGAATTGTTTGTCAAAATGTATACATTCTTATTGTTGTACAGACACAGTTATTAAACTGTGATCAAAGACAAACATCTTTTTCTTAAATTCAGGTAACAGAGCAGATTATGTTAATATATCACAGAGAATCATCAGTAGTTTGAGGGTGTCCAGTAGGTTTCTTCAGAGCTCTCTGAAGGGGAGGGATGTCTCCCATTCCTTTTCAACCAGGAGAGCTCTGCTGTTGTCTCTTTTATGTATTGTAGCCTTGCTCAACAGGGAGCAGTTTTTCTCCCCATGGGTTATCTGATGCTGACGACGGGAGACAGTTTTGCTGCTCACATCAGGGGGATGGTACTGGCATCTAGTGGGCAGAGGCCAGAGATGCTGCTAAACATTCTGCAAAGCACAGGAAGCTCTTCCAACAAAGAATTACCCAGCCCAAAACGATGAAAAGCCTTTGCCCTATAAAAATCTGTTTGAAGATACAATTCCATGTCTAAACATTTTGATAGCTCCTGGATTAATTTTATAGGTAAAGCAATGAAAATGTCTAACTATTTTGCAAATCAATGAAGACAGAGTCAATTATCAATTATCAATTTACATAATTCTTTTTTTTTTTTTAGCAACAATTGTATTAAATGAACTCAACTGGACAAGTGCCTTAGATGAAGTTTTCAAAAAAAATCGAGATGAAGACCCTTCCTTGTTGTGGCAGGTGTTTGGCAGTGCCACAGGCCTGGCCCGATATTATCCAGGTACGTGCTTAGTGACTTAATAGGTACCAGATAAAATCAGAAGTACCAGATAGAATCTCAAGTCCCAGACTTAATGTTTCTTGAGAACACTCTGTTACCTTTTCCTACACTAAAAAAAAAAAAAGATAGTTCCCTTGTTACTTTTAAAAGGAAAGACTGTTTCTCCTTACAATGCTATATATGTCCCAAAATTACTTCAAACCAAGACATCCAAGGAGCAGCTAGAGTGTTGGCACCTAGAATTAGGCCATTGCTGTGAGGGCAGGAGCAGGCACAGGAGGTTGTCCTGAATCCTAAAACAACTCTGAGATGAAGATCCAACCCTTCAGGATGGACCAAGTTGTGAGTTAGATTGAGAACTGAATAGAATTTTTAGAAACTAATTGAAATATTTCTCTACAGATTTTGAGTCTGTGCTTCTGTATAAAAAAAAAGTGTTGATTCTATTCTTTAATCAATAAATGTGGATTTGTTAAAATGAGTATGATATTTTAATAAAAATAGAGCTTCCTTATTTGTCAGTTTGAATTAATTTTCAGAGCATCTCAGCAATTATATACACATGTCCAATGTCAATGAAGATGAATATATTTTATACATTGAAATGAATAAACCCTTTGTAATGGCCTTTACATTTTCTTAAAAAGAAGGGCATGGAAAAATAAATCTATATAGCAAAAATGAAAAGTTAATCACTAGTAAACTCTGGGAAACCGTTGAAAGAATTTTTAGTGAAATGCCTGTTTCTCTACCTTTAAGAACCAGCTAACAAACACAAATGCATTTTCTTTCTCAAAGACATGCCCTCAGTTATGGGATATATTAAATAATTAGACTTTAAACAGTATAGAGGAGAATTTTTTTCTGATACTTGAGTTTTACTAAACATGTTTAACAAACAGAATGTCACAATAAATCACAACAGTGAAATGGGGGTGAAATGGAAATTAGGTAATACCTAGGTTTGTATGGCAATAGAAATGAATAACAGTAAGTCAGCTCAATCAGGCAAAGGCATTAATTAGCTAAAGACATATAACTTCATGGGCACAAATGAAAAGTGGTAAGATCAGTGACAGTTATTTTTTTGCAGAAATACAGTGCACTAGGAAGGGCCTACTTTGTATTTCAATGTTGAAAAAATCATGAGTTAATAAAATATTAATGTTAATGTTTGATGAAGGGAAAATATTACATAGGTTGTTATACTAGTGGAATTTTCTACTTACAGAAATATTTAGTATAATGCAACCTTTCTAAAATACTCATGTTATTAATATGTTAAATATCATATATCAGGATATTGAAAATTTTAGAACTCTATATAAGATAATAAAAGGGAAAAAACATAATTCATGTACATAATAAACCTGATATGATAAACCTTAAAGTTATAGCAGGTCTTATTAAACATTTATAAGTATAATTTTGAAGAATAGGAATTTGACACCCAATAACCTATCCAGTATATGCAAATGTAAGCATAAATTTATCGGTACCTTATAGCATTATATAGCTTTTAAGTATTTCATAATATATTGCTTCATTACAAAATTCCATAGATGAGCAGTTGAGTGAAAGGACGAAAAGATGAAAGAAAATTAGGATACTCATGAGATACCATGAGCTCAGTCACAGACGGAAGTTGATGATGGTAAGAAAGAGAGACAAATCAGGACTGCAAGAGAGAAACCGGAAGGAGAGGAAAGGGAAGACTGCAAGAGAAGGGAGAGAGAGAACCCTGGGGTCAGGAGAAGGAAGTGAGGGTAGGCTGCTGTTGTAAGTGCTTATCGAAGAGGCCTTGTTTTACAAATAGCGGTTAACTTGTAAACGCACTATTTAACCATTTTCAATTATTTCATTTTAAATGCTAATTGAGTGTGATGGTTTGATTTTTTTTTAAAGTTGTTGCCTATTTGTCCACTTTATTTTGGAAAAGATGTTTAAATATTTAATTTATCTGAATCCCCCCCAAATTTCCCCCAGAACATTAACTGTGGAAGAAACCCTGTGATCTCCTGAAACACCTAGTTTTTGAGCAATGGTTTGGCAGACAAATTGATTCACTGAATGACTGATAGGCTGAATTCATTTACCTATTAGAAGAGGTTATTCAAAATGGCTTTCTGGACTGATGTGGAATATACTCAGTGTAATTTCAACTTTATTGAAACTATCGTCCTTTTTATTTTATTTTTTGTTTTTTTTGGCTTACAGAAAGCTGCACTTAATATATACAACTGTCATACCATCCCCATAATCAATGCCATAAACCTATCCATCATTTCCAAATGTTTTTTCCTACTCTTTTGTTTATTATTATATTTTTGTGCTAGAACACTAAACATTAGATTTACCCACTTAGCAAAATTTTTAAGTATACAATATAATACTGTCAACTACAGACACACTGCTATACAGAAGATTTCAAGGACTTACTCATCTTGTACAGGGAAATTTTCTACACTTTGACCCCAATTCACACTTCCCCTCTTCTTCCTTCTTTTCATCTTCCTTCTCCTCCTCAACCCTTCATTTTTTCTTTTTCTCTTCTCCAGTTGTTCTTGAGTTATGTAACACTTTTCGAAAAAGAGATCAAATAGATTTTAAATATCTAATAGCAAATGACAAGGTAGCCCAAAGAATTATTTTTTGGTTTTTTATGAAGTGAGTATTTGATAGACCCTTAGCCAATTTGAGGAAATTGGGCTTTCACAAAAGCAGCCTTTCTTTACTTGGTTCTCTCAGAGAACTTTGTTTTTATCTATAACAACATCTATCAAATGTTATCTTCTTTCAGAATTTGTTTAGCGTATTCTCTTTTTGAAAAGCATTGCAGTGTAAGTAACTGCAGACTACTTGTATATAAGTATGTCCTGTATCACCTAATACAGTGCCTTGCATATAGTGCATAATAGGTTTTTGTTAAATTAAACTGGATAAATGAGTGAAGATCATAGGTACTAGAGCTGTAAACAAGTATCCGAGAAAACTCAGTCTCTATATAAAATGAAACAAGGGGGGGAAAACCAGGTGGCCAGCGCAGGAAACATAGAATTCTAATTACCTAGACGTCTGAATGTACACCTTTGCTATCCCACGGTCTTACCTATGCTGGTGTTCTCCATGGACTTTCTGAAGTAAATCTGCAAAGTTAGTTTTTAGATCCCTGGAAGCTTTATTGAGTGGGTGATACGTGCAAGCATCATGGGCATGGAGTAGGATAGGCAAACAGTGTGATGTTCCAAGCCCTAGTCACAGCAATATGCTTTTAAATGGTTAAAATCTAAGCATAAATTATAATAATATACTATTTTCAAAATCTGTAATCTATAATAAATAGTTTTAGTAACTCCATGATTCTATTTTAAAATATCCACATACGGAGTGTTCATTATATGGCAACTTCCAAGTGCTTATGTGTATAAACCATTGAATCTTAGCTATTACCCTTAGCAGCAGAAACTCTGTTACCTCCATTCTACTGGAAAGGGGAAGTAATTTATCCAAATTTATATATCTAATGAAAAGTCTAGGAAGACTAGGTCCAAAACTCATCTGAGTTCTACACTAGGCTGTATCCAACCGGAGAAGACAATTTTAAAGAAGGTACAAAGAATAGACTGTTTGTATTAACATTTACCCAATTGGAATGACTACCTTCAAGTATTTTCTTCTACACATGAATCTCTTCTGTGGTTCTGTGCTGTAAGGATTTGGTCATTCAACATTTGAAAACTTAATATGTCATTATTTGGGGATAAGTTAATTTTCAGAAACATATGCCTTCCCCAAAATTAAGCATTGATTATATAAATGGTGTGAGACATAAAAAATACCCAGAAACATAAATATAATATGGCAATAAATAGGTTCCTAGGGCCAAAATAATTTTCTCCTAAAAAGATATAAGAATGTAGAGAAAATAAAGAGGCTGATTTTAAACACTCTTATGAAGAGTTTGCCTCCTGTCCATTCTCCAAGCTTTAGAACTTGATCCAGGTTGTATAACTAGGAGAAGTTCTGACCTGTATCAAGATATTGATTCAGTTACTTAAACAATGACTAACATTACAGAGGTTATGTCTATTTCTTTCCGATAAACTCCTACTAGATAAATATATTGGTTAGGGTAATTCTGACCTTTGAAGTTTGCAGCAACTGAGGTTCTGTAATTATCAATGCGAGAGATAGCTGACATAATCAAATTATCCAAATCAATAAAGTTATTGGTGAAAATGAAAAATATGTCTTTTATTTTACGGAAAAAACTAAATGGACATTTTGGCCAAATGAATAATTGCCATTTCTTAGGTTGTTGTCCTCATATGTATGATTAAAACTGGATCAAGACCATCACATCCAGTTGAGAACAAACAAAAAAAGGAAAAAGTTAGTAGAAGGCAAACAGCATGACCAAAAACAAAAATTACATATATATATACACATACACATCACTTCTGATCAAATGTTATTGCCTAGAATTTTATCATAATACTTCACCATAGTGAGAGAGATGGAGAAGTATAGTTTCTATTAGTCAGTCAGTTAACACTTGAGGAGCACTATTACTAAAAGGAAGAAGAAAAAATGTATACTGAAGCTTGGTCAGTGTTCCTCTGGCAGTGCAGTCTCTGCATACACTTCCTTCCACTCATGAACACACTTACCTCCTTCCCATAGGAGATAATTCAAAGTCCCAATAAGTTAGCACATTCAGCTCAATACCTAGTATCACATGGAATTCTGTGCATGTGGATATGCTTTTTCCTAATATGGTTCCTTAAAATACAGCAGAATACTAGTTACTTACTCTGTATGATTCTTATCACTGCCCAGATAACTAGTGTACGATGCTGGTGTCTTCTGGATGACTCAAGTAAAAACTGACGTTTGTAAAAAGAGTAAAAATTACAGAGCAATTACTGATCCATGGTATTTACCACAATCCAGCAAGCAAGAAATACAAAGACCCCCTATTCTTTGCATGAAATGAGTTTCGTAGTTAGCCCATCAGGCCACTGCTGATCATGTTAGTTCTGTAGCCCTTTCTGACATATCTGAAGGGTGTGCTTGGGAATAAACAGTTTTCAGAGAATGTTGTTTAGGGTACAGGTTTAGAGCCCAAAAATTGCTTCAGGATTTATAGCAATTACAAGATTTCTGCAGACTAGGCTTGTGGTTTCTTTGACAACACAAACAATATCAACAATACTTAGTTGACGTCTCATTATTTTTTTTCTATTGAGTTTCTTGTGCAAGCAATCTTAGCCCTGAGATTTAGTCTACGAATTATTCTTAAGTCCAAAACCTTTTATATATTTACTGGGTTATAAATGTAGTCTGTTCTTCTTTCTCTCATACTGAAGGTGATTTGCTTGAAGACGTTGCTGAAAACACAGAATTCAATGTTATAATAGTGGATCTTACTCATTTTCTAGTTGTTCATCTGCATCTGATGCAAAGGCTGCTAGTTATTCACCAAAATTCTGTCCACTCATTCCATTGTGAAGTTTTGTTTTTACTTTTTGCTGCACTTACTGGGGTAACATTGGTTAATAAAATTATATAGGTTGCAGATACACAGTTCTATAATGCATCATCTGTATATTGTATTTTGTGCTCACCACCCCAAGTCAAGTCTCCTTCCACCACCATTTATTCCCCCTTTACACTCTTCTACCTCCCCCGACCCCCTTCCCTCTGACAGCAGTCACCATACTGTTTTCTGTGCCCACGGATCCTTTTTTTCTTTGCTTAATCACTTCACCCTTCTCACCCAGCACTCAGGTTTTATTTTATGAATGTCTGCCCAGCCAGGGACTACAAATTCTCAGACCTCCTTTGTATCTACAGAGGACTTAATGTACAGTTAAACACCTTTTTAAATCACAGTTCAACAACCAACAGAGTGCACCTTAAATATCATGTGAAATAGAATTGTAGTTAAATAGATTTAGTCAGAGATATACCCAGGATTCATTTTTGATTAGAGGAACACATTCTTATAAATGTTTATAAGCACCCTTAACTTTGGCATTCAGAAATGGTATACGCTCATTGTAGGCTGTCATTTCTGCCCCGTTCTCATATCATCCAAAATCTTATTGGACAGCAAAAGGGACAGCTAAACTGAGCAACATTTCACTTTTTGCTGGGATTTTAGAAGCTCTGATTTCTTCTTAAAAGATATCTCTTTCATTGTGCATCATTATGAACCTGATCGTTTTAGGGAGTTGCACTGTAAGGTTATTAATTCTTACTACTATTTGATCTTCCATAATTCTGAGCTTATATAAATAATGTACCAGTTAAATTCCACAATGGGATTTTATAACAAATTAATTAGTAATATCACAGAAGAAGGCACATTGTTAATTATATCCTAAGAGTAGCTATCTCAGAAGATTTCTAAGAGAAGATTCTTAATGTTTTTATATATAAACCATTTAGGATTACATGCTATATCAGTGATTTTGAACCAGTGTGCTGCAAGAATTTTTGAAATATGCAGTAGCTAACTATTTAGTCAGGGGCGCTGACCACTTTTCCCTTAGATTGTCAAATAGAAAAATGACAACAGCCAAGACAACAATAGCTGTTTGATGTGAATTAATCAAAATTATACCTATTTTTTGTTAGATTGGCAAAAAATATATTTTTTGGTGTGCCACAAAATTTTAGAAATTAGCTTATGTATGTCATGAAATAAAAAGGGTTTAAAATTACTGTGCTATAACAAAATTGAATGGTCTAGCTTATATGGTAAATTATGATCCCTTTTTCCATCTTTAAAGATAGATGCAAATTTTATGGAGCATGGTAATGCTGACCACAGTCAATTTCAATTGACAATTATAGTGAAAACAAAAATCCTAGATTAATGTGATATGCAAAGAATTCAGGAATCTAATTTAGATGTGACTTTCATCCAGTTTTATTAAATAATTTATCAAATTCATTGGTTAGCCACTTTTCACTCATGGTGGCTGACAAAGCTTAAAATTGTGCTGTTGATAAAATAAAAATTGCTCACATGCCCAGATCCATTTTTATAGACCAAGTTAAAAAGGTGAATTTAGAGCTGAGAGGCAATAAATCTATAACCAGCACAGCACTGTACTGAAAGTAGGATATAATTTATTTAATATCTTAATTTTAAAATTAAAATTTTAACTTGGAAGTCAGCTATTATTCAGAATGAGTCAAAAGTGTCCTGACATGCTTACCAGCATGCTAATTCTACCACAAAAATAAAAAAAAAAAGTACTTGATATTTTGTCTCACTGGCTCAAATTTTCTGCAAATGCAAATTGAAAGAATCAGTATAAATTTACCATTTTATTTGCACTAACTATATCAGGGCTGGCATAGTTGGAAGAGGGCTATATTTAAACTTACTATTTCACCGAAACATGATTAGTCATTTAAAGTGAATAAGTCATTTTATATTACAGTCACTAATAAGAAGGAAATTTCTCAGTCAAGGAGAAGCTCAGTAGTATGTATTTTTTGACATATTCTAATTGGCCTAATTATCTTAGTTGACTAATAAACCTAATTCTCATTAAAGTTCTCCATAACTTCCATAGTTTCTCAATAAAGGGCAAAATAATTTGGAAGAAATAAATCATATGGATTATTATTAGAAATTTACTCAAGGGTCATAAATCTAAACATGTTAAGGACAGATATTGTTCAGCATAAAATTGTCTTCTAATTCATCAGCATTTATTGTTCTCCATTGAGTCTAAGGAGTATGTGTGTGTATAAAGCATTTTAATTACCTTTTTAATTAGAATAAGTAAAAATTAATTGCATTCAAAGTCAATGCAGTTAAACAAAGAAGTTTTTCTTCTGATTACTGAAAGTGATAAAGGCTCTGACACTAACAAAAGATTACGTGAATTACTTCAAACCATTTAAAGAAATGTAAGGAAAACAATTTTTGTGGAGTTATTTAATTATACTTTAACCTTTTAATTATAATTTCAAATGGCCTGGCCATTATCAAATATGTTAATAATAAGGTTAAAAGTTATGCTATTGTATGATAACAATAAAAAAGAAAACAATAATCGTTTTTATAGATCAAGTTAGTATGACTTCGAATGAAAATATAAGGATCAAATAATTGAAAGCATAATTTCCCTGAGTGGCAAATCCATTTTTTTAATGGTAAATTTTTCTGTTAGTAGAGAAGAAAGTAATTAAATAATTCCTGGACACTTGGTAAAACATATCAGTCTGCACCCAGGAAATCCCTGTCTACAAAGTATTTCTGAAATAACGTGAAAAAGAAAATTGACTTATGTTGACCTTCTTTTATATGCTTTATTGTTTTACATTTTAAAAAAGAAAAACATATAGCATTAAAATTGTATCTCCCATTTTAACATTGTTGTGGATAAGTGGAAAGTGTAATGATGTTTTTTGATTTATTTTAAATACTGTTTTTAGAGATCATTTCTAATGTTCTGATATAATTCTTCTAATTTTTAATGTAACTTTAATGCCTTCCCCCCTCTCTCTTAAAGCTTCTCCATGGGTTGATAACAGCCGAACTCCAAACAAAATTGACCTTTATGATGTACGCAGAAGACCATGGTAAGGATTTTAGGTAGTCATGAAAAGACAAAATACACAGAAGAAAGTTACTTCTTTTTTTGTGAAAAAGTTGGAGGGAATCTTTCTATTGTCAGGGTGAATATTGTCTAATTATTTAGAGGGCTCAGCTTTTTTAAAAAAATTTTAATCAATATATAAGTTAAGGGTAAATGAAAATGATAAATTCACATGGGAACAATAATGAATATTGTTGAAATTATCAAATTCATTTCAAATGGACTACTTAAGTTTTATATTCAAATTTATCTTCAAAACTCTTTTAGCTTGTGGTGATTTCTACTGAAAGCCCCCAGTTGCTTGGAGTACAGCCCTAATTGAGCTTCAAGACTGAGTGGGCAGCAGTGTGTCTCTGGCACAGTGCTAATGGGAACTGGCCCCAAGCAGTAAGAGCGGCCCCTTGTTATAGTGTTATTGCTTAGGTTTATTTCTTTAAGAAGAAGTATTATTTGTTTCTCACTTCTAAAACAACTCATTTTCCTAACATAAAACTAAAAAAGTTACCTGTAACTCATGATTTCACAACTCATATATTTTGAATATTTTCAAAAATACACTTAATGTGTGGATGTATCTTTTTTGAATGGGTTCACATTATATAGCATACACTGCTTTTGCAACCTACTCTTTTCATATCAAAACCATTGAGTACCTATTCTTAAGAGACACATTTGACATTATTTTAAAAGAATGACTCTGAGGTAGCTTATTTAAGAAATCCCCTGTTATTGAAAATTTAGGTTATTTTTAACTTCAGACAAATTCTAAGGCATAATAGTTAATTCAAGTAAATGTATTTAAAGCTTTTAAGATGCCTTGTTAAATGTTCCAGTAGCAGTTGATATGAACACCAACCATGTATAGTCATGCAAGGTGTTAGTAATCCACATATTATGCTTGTTAATATTTCTCCACATGTGGCGGCTGTGAAACAATGTGTTGTTGAGTGGAGGCAAAGATGACAGCACCACATGGTTTGGGTTCAGGATCCTGTTGCTTTGGGGAAACTTAGAAGCAAGGTGTCAAACAAAAGAGGCAGACAATATTCTATCCTCTGATCTTCCCACCAAGAGGCACATCTGGACCTTTTGTTAATGTGCTAGACATGAGGTAGATTTGCCTTCTATTGGAATATTCTAGGACCCCTTTCCCTTACCTTCTTATAGAGACACAAACTTGGGTGCAAGTTATAATCTCTGTTTCATGAACACAAAGTCCTTAGTAGACAGTTACTGTGCTGGATGTTGTCTGTGAACTACTTGACAGGCTATGTGTCAGGCTTTTGCGAAGTTAAATTTAGAGTTATGAATAAAGAAGCATTAGAGATAAGTAGAAAGTTGAGCTCAGATTCAGTCCTTCCAGGTGGAGAAATTAGGTCCCTGTGCCCAGTCACTCTGTGGTCAGGCACCATAAACTTTGGGATCATTCACCTGCTGTTCCGTTTCTCTCTACAGTTCCTAAACCATCTGAATAGAGCTTTCATATGGTCTCTTTTAAATGCAAATTTCTAAATCTGTATGGCTGGGTTGATTTGGGAATCAAATTAAATGAACTCCCCAGGCGATTCTTAGATACCAAAAAGTCTGAGAGCTGCCACTGGGAACTCTTGGTAATAACATTATATATTCTCCTGTTTTTAATTTCTTTATTGTCTCTTTTGTTTCTCTTCTGTTGATGTTGCTCTTCCTTTCTTTTTTTTTTTACTCTTCAAACATTTGTCTCCATTTTCCCCGACACCACTCTCTCCTGCTCCACCCACCCCACCTCACCCCACCAATCCTTCCCTACTTTGGCTTTGTCCATGGGTCCTTCATACATGTTCCTTGATTTGACCCTTCCCCTTCTTATCCCTGTTACCCCCTCCCTCCTTTCCTCTCATTACTGTTGGTTTGTTTTTTTTTTCAATGTTGCTGGTTATACTTCTGTTGCTTATTTGTTTTGTTGAGTAGGTTCCACTTATAGGTGAGATCATATGGTATTTGTCTTTCATCCCCTGGCTTATTTTGCTTAGCATAATGCTCTCTAGTTCTATCCATGCTGTCACAAAGGGTAGTGGCTCTTTCTTTTTCTGCTGTGTAGTATTCCATTGTGTAAATGTACAATAGTTTTCTGATCCACTCATTTACTTCTTGGCACTTATGTTGCTTCCAACACTTGGCTGTTGTAAATTGTGCTGCTATGAACATTGGGGTTCTTTTGAATTGGTGTTTCAGGATTCTTAGGGTATAATCCCAGCAGTGGAATCACTGGGTCAAAAGACAGTTCCATTTTTAGCTTTTTGAGTAAATTCTAAACTGTTTTCCACAGTGATGTTGCTCTTTCATGTTCCCAGACAATTTACATGTATTTTATTTTTTGCATTTAAAAATATGTCACAGCCTTATTATTATTTGTTAATATTATTATTCCATAGAATGTGTTTTAAAACATGTGGTCAACAAATTGAAGTTCAGGATTTTTTTTTCTCAAAAATGTCCTTCTAGAAGTAAAGTTCTTTTTCTCTTAGTATCAAAACACATTTCTGTATCTTTTTAAATGAATATCTGAAAAACATAATTGAAACATTATGCCCCTGACAGGTCTACTGATATATGAAATATAGCTTTTTAAATATTGACAATGTAAATTTATGAATGAAAGAGCACAAGCACAGCATTGTTGACTGAGATAGAATGTAAGTAGGTCTGTTTGGAAAATACTGTATCTCAGAGATCAGTAAATATCAGCTTGACAAATATCAGTGTCTGATAATTTGAAAGAGAAAATATATTTATTTGCTATTTGTGTTTCAGGTATATCCAAGGAGCTGCATCGCCTAAAGACATGCTTATTCTGGTTGATGTGTGAGTAGTTAAATATTACATATTTATTTGTATGCTGAGAATGTAGGGTGAATTTATAGATAAAAGTAATGTCTTGGGACTGAGAAATGATTGATCTATTGGGGAAAAAGAACAAAGAATAACCATGATTATTATTATATCCAGACAAAGAAACTATTGACAGCAACAAAACAATCAAAAAATTATTTTATTCAAAATGAGAAGAATCTGTATTGGAATTGAAAATTATGGCATGGCATGGTTCTAAAGTATGAGCTTTTGAAAAATTACTCATTTGCTACTAATTTTTGGCTTTATAAATTAAAATAACTTTAAAGTACAGAGTTGCTAAAACTAAACAGTTCTTGCTATCCATCCCATCCTCCAAATTATAATCATTTAGTTAGCACCTAGTAATTAAAGATTCAAATAACTTTGAGGTTTTTGGCCACAAAACAGAAAAAGATTAAATGTGTTAAAGGTCAATACTGGGACTTTCTCAAGGAAATGCTAATGTATGAGAAAGAATTCCGGGATTTTTTTTATTGGCCATTTTATGTGTACCATTGCTTCAAATTAAGCAGTATGTATGTGCACATATGTGTGTATAATCCTCTAATGAAATTGAAGATGAAATGGTAAAACATAGAAAAGAATATATCCTGCTATAGAGATTTTGTTTTTAAGTGTAATACCAATAAATAATAACAAAGTATAAAATGCTTTGATTATTTTCCCTGAGAAAATCCAGTGTCTTGTCAGAAACTAAATCTGTACCACAGGCTTATATCAACATTTGAAAACTTCTCCATTTTAACCTAAAGTAAACAGCTTCAAAAACCTTATAACCTGGCCTGAGAAGAGAAGATAAATGAATTAGACAAATATAACTTAAATATTAATTCTCATTTCATTTGTTAAAATGTATTTAAGCCACATCTTGTATTAAATTATTGTGGAATCTATAGCATAATTTAATCCTTGATATTCTCAAGTATAAATCTATATGGTAATTTAATATATTATAATCCTATTGGATATATGATAATTTCCAGAAATAATTATTCAAATTAAAATATTTGGAACGTAGCCCTGGCTGGTGTGGCTCAGTGGATTGAGCGCTGGCCTGCGGGACCAAAAGGTTGCTGGTTCAGTTTCCTGTCAGGGCGCATGCCTGGGTTGCAGGCTAGGTCCCCACTTGGGAGCACATGAGAGGCAACCGCACATTGCTTATCCCTCTCTTTCTCTAAAAATAAATAAATCTTTTTTTTAAAAAAATAAATAAATCTTGGCATAGAAAAAATATTTGGTACCCACATTGATATCCCAAAGCTGAATATTTATATAATATTAAAAATGTCATTTTAAACTTTTTCAGCATAAATATTTTGAGTGTCTCATCACATATATAGTGTCATAATATAGACTCAAAGATGGTTAAAATGTGTTACCTGATCTCAGAGATAAATCAAATGTATTAGTAAAACTAAACCGTATGTACAAATAACTACAATAACATAGACGGTAGTAGAACTTCAATATGCCATAGCACTAAAAGAGTCCAAGGAGAGAGAGCACTTTGATTTAAAGTGTCAGGAAAGACTTCATTAATAAGCTAAAATTAGAATTTAATTAGCATACATGGGAGGGGAGAAGAAAGAGAGTGGAATTTCTGGTGGAATAATGGACAGAAGCAAAGAGACTTAGGTGAAAACACAGGAGAAACTATCTTGAGGAGGTGGTGGATGGAGACAAGAAGGACTATAAAAGCTGCTGAATGAAGTGCTGTTGAGATTGTTGGCTGTTTAGTGGGTAACTATGAACTATGAAATGTTGTATTAAGGTATGTTTCCAGAATTTCCACCTGTTAACATGGGAAAGAGAGGTGATAAGAGCTGGATGCGGTAGTTTTTACCCTAGTCCAGAGTCTGCAGGTAATGAAGGCCAGAGCCAGAGTGAAGAGAGGATGGAGAGGAAGGCACTGTCTTGGGAACACTGTGAAGTGGAAGGAAGGAGGAAGACTGTCTGAAAGGGAAGAAGATTGAGAGGGAGGGGGAAATTGGATAACTAAGACGGTTGGTGTCAAGAACATAAGTAGGAAAGAAAATTAGGTTTGGGAGTAATTTGTCTTCTCAGACATTGAGCCTGTAGTTGTTTAACAAGTAGCAAAGTGTAAAACGGGGAGAACATTGGGAGCTAGAGATGTAGAATTGGGGGTAAGTTGTCTAGAGTTGAGCCCCGCAGATAAATGAGGTTCTCACGGAGGATCGTAGAATGTGTAAAGATGAGACAAATGAAAACAAATCCCAGAAAAGATCTACTTTGGAATACAAACAAGGCATTTTGTCCACAAAAAAATCTGTATTATCATAATTGTTATGCTGATTTATAATTATCAGTTTAATAAAGTCAAACTATGGGTTCCCTTGGGCAGTGACTTTATCTGCTAATCTGAAGAGGTTAAAAACCCTCACTGATGATTTTGCTAACTAAGCTGGTATTCAGTATGTTTCCTGAATAAGTGAACATGCCATGCGCATCCATATCTTCTTAAAATTGCCATTTGACTTTTAATTTTTATCATTGTATTTAGAAATGTGTACATTCTGATGCTGGTATGAAAGAAAGACAAGATTATTTATACTCTCTTAAAAATATGACTTTTATTACTACTGATTTTTTTAAAAACAAAATTATTTGAATGTTATATACAGGTCTAGAGCCAGTGCATAAACTGCTTTTAATTATAGTGTCCTATTTTTATTAAATATGTGGTCATTAACATGCATGGACCCATTTTTTTATAGGAGTGGAAGTGTTAGTGGATTGACACTTAAATTGATCCGAACATCTGTCTCCGAAATGTTGGAAACCCTCTCAGATGACGATTTTGTGAATGTAGCTTCAGTAAGTATAAGATGACTTTGTTTCTGGTGAATTAAATCAGCAATTTCTAGCTCCTTCTGTCCTTCAATGCTCCATAGTGTTTTGTCATACATAGGCTGAGATATCTCTCACTGAGCTGTTCCGATCTTGTTACTAGTTCTCCTATATTTCTACACCATAGTCCTTTTAGAATATCTGAGGTTTTACTCATGACTGAAGTTACTGATGTAATGAATATGAAGGAAAAATATTACACATACTCTTCTTCACTCAGAGAAGCTTAAACAGGTGACATAAACCCTTCTACTAATTGATACCATTCTAACTCCTAATAAGTGGTGTTTTTTTCCTATTTAACAAGAGAACAAATAGATACTTGACTTTCTTCTTTTAAGGTTTTATTTCCCCAGAACCATCTTAGACCTTCCTACTCATAGAGCGAACTGAACTCTGAATGAAATGAAACAGAACAAATTGAGTTACCATGTCTCATTTTAATTCATAGAATTTAGGCAAAAAAAAAAAGTCATGGCTCTTTACTTATGTATATAATCTCACAATTGAAATGGATATATTCATAGAGGTGAAGGTGAAGGAAGAGGAATTTGTGTATTGAACACAAAAGAGTGGGTCTGTCTCTGAAACCACTGACTGGGAGGAAGAAGTTAAAGCAGGTGGCCTGCCATGGATTCCCTTCACTGAGAGGGTAACCGGGAGGCGGAAAAGGAGACTGGGAATAGGCCATAATCCCTTGTTAATTAGAGCTCCAGGTAACTAGATTGATGCTATTTCCTGAGAGGAAGAGGATTATTCCTAAAATGCTTTTAGTGTGATACCCCTGACTAAAAGTAACTAAACTAAAAGTACATAGTGAATAAAACCCAGAATCAGCAAAGTAAGAATCCCTGAAAAAAATGTCCATAGGAGCTAGAATCCTCTGGTTAATAAATTGGAGATATTTTCTAGTTTAAATAGTCCTGCTATACAAGGAACCCCACAGACCTGTTTCTGAGACCTTTTTTTTTTCATCTGGACAAGAGGAGTGTCTCCAATATAGTAAGAAAGAACCTGTTCTGTGTTTTCTGTGGCTGCCCTACAGAATAATACAGACTGGAGAGCTTGAACTACAGAATTAATTTTCTCATAGTTTTGGAGGTCAGAAGTCCAAGATCAAGGTGTCAGCAGAGTCCATTTCTCCTGAGTCCTCTTGGCTTGTAATGGCCACCTTCTTGCTGGCTCTTCAAACAGTCATCTCCCTGTGAATGCACATCCCTGGTGTCTTTTCCTCTTTTTATCAGGACACCAGTCATATTGGATGATGTCCCTAACCTAACTGCCTCAGTTTAACTTAATCACATATTTGTGGACCTTATCTTCAGATACTGCTACTTTCTGAGGTACTGGGTTGGAACTCCAACATATGAATTTCAGGGGACATAATTCAACCCATAACACCTGGGTTCCATTCTCCATACCTACATCTTTTTCTGCTTTTTCTGAACCTTTAGGAAACCTTAGCTTGTCTGTATCCTTGATATTATTTAGTTAAACTTGATACCACATGAATCTATGATTCACATCAATCTCATTTCACATTCTGACCCTGTGTGTTACCTTACCAGTTATTCAACAAAATGCAGTGCTTTATCTCTCAAATAAAATAATCAAAAAAAATTGTCACTTAGTTTCATTTCTACATAAACATATTGTTTATTACAAAGACATTGTAATGGTTACTAACAAAATATGTTTGACATAGCAAAAGGGAAAGTTGTAAAATATTAAATTCAGTACAGATTTGGCATATCTGATAAAATTTATGTAAAAATAGCAGATATTAATGTGGTTAATCTCTTAATCTTTTTCCTGATCTTCACTCATGGATTCAAGAGTAAGTAAAGTTGGACACAATCCCAGGAACTCTACCAGTTAAGGAGTGAGGAGGGAAAGGAGACCAGGGAATAAAGGAAGGAAGCTAATTAAAGCATCTTAGTATAATTTAGAAGAGCCAAATTCTATCCTCAAACTATTCCAGAAAATTCAAGAAGAGGAAAAACTTCTGAACTCTTTTTATGAGGCCAGTGGTATCCTAATTCCTAATTCCTAAATCAGGTAAAGGAGTTATCCTAATTCCTAAATCAGGTAAAGGCACGACAAAGAAAGAAACTATAGGCCAATATTGCTGATTAACATAGATGCTGAAATCCTCAACAAAATATTGGCAATCCAGATCCAGCAATACAAAAAATAAAATCATTTACCATGATCAAATGGGATTCATCCAGGATGCTATGAATATTCACAAATCAATAAATGTAATGCAAAAACAAAATGAAAGAAAAAAATCACATGGTCATATCAATAGATGCTGAAAAAGCATTTGATAAAGCACAGCCCCTACTCATGATAAAAACACTCAGCAAATTGGGAGTAGAGGGAACATACCTCAACATAATAAAAGACATATATGAGAAACCTATAGCCAACATCATACTCAAAGGGCAAAAACTAGAAGCTTTCCCACTAAGATCAGGAACAAGACAAGAGTGTCTGCTTTCACCACTTTTATTTAACATAGTACTGGAAGTTCTAGCCCAGTGATCAGACAAGAAAAAGAAATAAAAATCATCCAAATTGTAAAGGAGAAAGTAAAACCGTTATTATTTGCAGATGACATGATAGTGTACATAGAAAACTCTATAGGGTCCACCAGAAAACTACTCAACCTAATAAGTGAATTTGGCAAAACAGCAGGATAACAAGTCAATATGTAGAAATCAAAGACATTTTTGTAATCCCACTTACTATAGTGATAAGAAAAATAAAGTACCTAGGAATAAAATTAACCAAGGAGATAAAGATCTGTATTTGGAAAACAACATAATCCTGAAAAAAGAAATTAAGGAAGATACAAATAAATGGAAATATATACTTTGTTCATGGATTGGAAGAATTAACATCATTAAAATGTCTATACTACCCAAAACAATATATATTCAAAGAAATCCCTATTAAAATACAAGTGACATATTTTACATATTTAGAATAAATATTTCAAAAATGTATATGGAACCAAAAATGACCCCAAATAGCCTCAGCAATCTTGAGAAAGAAGAACAAAGTTGGAGGGATCATAATACCTGATCTCAAACTATATTACAAGGCCATTATAACCAAAACAGTCTGGTACTGGCATAAAAACAAACATCAATCAATGGGACAGAATAGAGAGACCAGATATAAACCCATTGTCTCTATGGTCAATTAATATTTGACAAAGGGAACAGGAGAATAAAATGCAGTAAAAGTAGCCTCTTCAATAAATGGTGTTGGGAGATCTGGACAGCTATATGCAAAAAAAAACAAAAAAATTAAACTAGACCATCAACTTACACCATACATCAGAATAAACTCAAGGTGGATAAAAGGCTTAAAGGTAAGACAGGACATCATAAAAGTCCTAGAAGAAAACATAGGTAGTAAAATTTCAGATATCCCACTCAGCAATATTTTCACCAGTATATCTCCTAGGGCAAGGGAAATAAAGAATAAACAAATGGGACTACATCAAATTAAAAATTTGCTTTACTAAAGAAAACATCATCAAAATTAAAAGGGAACCAACTGTATGGGAAAACATATTTACCAATGATACCTTGGACAAGGGTTTGATCTCCAAAATAATGAACTCATATGACTCAACACAAGGGAGACAAGCAATCCAATTAAAAAATTGGTAAAGGACCTGTAGAGACATACATGGGACCACGGAGGACATACACAGAGCCCAGAAACACATGAAAAAATTCTCAACATTGCTAGCCATCAGAGAGATGCAAATTAATACCACAATGAGATACCACCTCATGCTTGTCAGAATGGCTGTCATTAAGTACTGGTAAGGTTGTAGAGTAAAGGAAGCCCTTTTCACTGTTGGTGGGAATGCAGACTAGTACAGAAACAGTCTGTACCTGTGGAAAACAGTATGGAATTTCCTCAAAAGGCCAAAAATGGAATGGCCTTTTGACTCAGCAGTTCCACTGCTGGGATTATATCCTAAAAATCCTTAAACACCAGTTCAAAAGAACCTATACATTCTATGCTCATAACAGCGTTATTTACAAAAGAGCCAAGCGCTGGAAACACACTAAGTGATCAGTAAATGAATGGATTAAAACATTGTGTTGCATTTACACAATGGAATGCTACACAGCAAAAAGAAAGAAGGACCTCCTACCCTTCGCGACAGCAGGGATGGAACTGGAGAGCATTATGCTAAGTGAAATAAGCCAGGCAGCGAAAGGCAAATACCTTATGATCTCACGTGTAACAGGAACTTTATGAACAAAACAAACAAATGAGTGAAATAGAACCAGAGGCATGGAAACAAGGAACAGGCTGACAGTGACCAGAGGGGGACAGGGGGAAAAGGGGGGAAAGAAGGGGAAGAGTCTAGTCAAGGAACAGGTATAAATGACCTGTAGATACAGACAACAGGATAGGGGTTGACTTTGGGGGGGGGGGGTAATGGAGAGCAATGGAGGAAAAATTGTGACAACTGTAATAGAACAATAGTAAACTTTTAAAAAATTATAAAAACTACAAAATAAGGAATCATAGTTCAATTTAAAGGAGCATAATCTTACTGAGACATTGTAGAAGCTGTATAAAAAAAAACAAATTTCAAAGTCATTTTGTCTGAAAACCAGAGGAGCTGGGGTGTTAAGTACTAGCCTTGCCCATCAATGAGCAGAATAGACTCTGACCACAAGGGGGAGAACTGAAACAAAAAGTTGTAGGGGATGGGAGTTAGAAATGTGGCCCATGGCTCTTGTACCCAGTCACTGATCCTTAAACGTAGCAACTGGTTACAATTAAAAACAAACAAACAACAGTACATCAGAACCGTGGGGTACTAGATTTAGAACTGAGCCCATAGTTTATATTCATCTTTTCTCATCTCTAATACTGTTCCTAATTTCTGTAGCCTTGGCCAAACCTTGTGCTGCTGATAGCTTGCT